ATTTGTGGCTGAGCATTCCACAATCTCTTTTTCTCTGCACCTTGGCCAGTTGTGGGTCTTTGTGTTGATTGCCATCTGCTACAAAAAGACGACTCTGCTGAGGACTGAAAGATGTACTAATTTATGAGCAAGATGATAAATGGTTAGGATTTGGCTCTCCTGTGACCTGTCTAGCCCCAAGTTCTTGGCCTAATAATGGGCCAGGTATGGAGTTCATCTCATAGGATATCACAAACATTGTTGAATATGTACACATATTTCTTCAAACAAAATTTCTGCTTCATTCTTGTGTTTATCTACTTACATGTTTTTGACCGTTGGATATTATTTTGTCATTCCTCTCTCTCTACTTACACGTTTTGGTTGTTATCTTGCAATTCCCTGAAACCTTGTCCACATTTTCCTGTTTTCTCCATTCTGCTGCTCCGTGTTTGTTTATCTGGAGCGTATTGCATGTTGTGACTGGTCACTCCTGACCTGTCAAGCCTTTGGTTTGGGTTTGTTTGTTTTCAGATATTGTATGTTCAAGTTGTAATATTTCTAAATTTCTGATCTGAATTCCTGCCTTTCCATACAAGTGTTTTTCTGTCTGATTGCAATTTCTGGTTGTCACAGGATTGGTATGTGTTGAATTTATTTCCCCTTTACCTTTAGAAGCTAGAATCAGTCACTTGACCTTGGGTAGGGTGCTACCTTCATAGCTTGCAGTTTTTACAAGCCACCAAGTGAATTACAACCCTACCCACACTTAGAAGTTTTGACTATTGGCCAGTCGGTGGTGGTGCACACCTTTAATCCCAGCATTCAGGAGGCAGAGGCCGGTAGATCTCTGAGTTCAAGGCCAGCCTGTCTACAGAGTGAGTGCCAGAACAGCCAGGGCTACACAGAAACCCCATCTCTTAAAAAAAAAAAAAAAATTGACCAATAAGCAATCTGAATTGAGTCTTGATACTGTGAGTGTGTACACTGGAAGTCTCTGCCATATAGCATGCTACAGAACAAAATTATTACCACAAAATGTTTAGTCCAGTCTAAAATTCTGCCTTTGATTGCTGTTAAGGCAGCCAGGTCCATTAGCCTTAGTTTAAGTGAGTGTGGGTATGTCCCACAAAACAATAACTCAGGGCTTCAACTGAGGCATGCACGCTCACACATGGTTCATGTGAAGCATGTGAGCCTCTCCTCTGGTTCTTCACTCATTTTCCTGACACTCTGGCTTGTAGGTATCATCTTGTAGGTTTCTCGAGTTAGAAGGACGGAGCTTCTGTTGGAATTTCCATTGCTAGTTCAGGTGACTATCTGTGCCTGCTTTGGGGGAAACTGCCAAAGAACCAGAGAGCAGCAGAAGGGAGAGGCAACTCCTGTGTTGCCTTCCCGAGTTTTTATCGCACTCTGGAATCCATATGCATGAATCTTGAGAAATCTTTGTGTTTGTTTGCCTAGCTCACCTGGACGCTTTAGTATAATCAGCAGGTAGATGCATTATGGGCTTACTGCCACGATAGAACCAAAGCCACAAGATGTGGGTTTTCATTGAAGACTGTCTAAAAAACAACAACAAGAAAAGAGTAACATTAGAAGTAGATCCTCTGAACTAAATATAGCCACAGCTTTCAGAAATCGCCAACAGACCATCTCCTGTTACTAACAACAGATTTGTATCTGATGACACTTAGGAAGGTACTAGAAAAATGTCCTGCTCGTCCCCAGAAGGTAAAGGGGAAGGAGGGGAGTCGTGAAATCTAATGCAGTGATATCACATGGCCTGATTTGAACCTGGTTAGTACCTAAGTGCCAGCCCCTTTCTAGATCCTGCTTCGTATGCCATGTTACAGTACAGCCAGGAAGTGTTGCAGAAACGATGCACCCGCAATGTCACCCCAAAACCAGATGAACCAGGTCTGCACCAGATGAGAGAGTCAACATTTTTATTCTTTCAATAATTCAAGAGAATGTCAACCATGTGAAAGCGTGTAGACATCATTGATTAGATCTCGGCAAGACTGCCTTACAGTCTTCCAGACAGTCGTGCTTCAGGGGCTGCCCCTTTGCCTCTGTGATCATGACATACTCTGATATTGACCTGCTTTGCAAAATGATCTCCGTATGTGGTTCCAGGGCTTCTTGTAACAGCAACACTACTAACCCATAAACAAGGAAAATAACAACGGTAGCTTATTGGAAGTTGCTGCTGTGCTTCCTGTATTGCTGCTACTTTATAAGCATTACCCCTCCTAACCCTGCCACGTCATATTTGTTAGATAAGGGAAACGTGGCCAAGTATGACAAGGCCACACAAATAGGTAGTGGAACGGGGATGTATTATGGCCAACCATGGGTAAGACCTGGAGTTCCCAAGACAACATGGGTAGCAGTTTCCTACAGATGAAGTGAATTATAAAGCAGCCATTCACTGTCACCTACTTTGGCAGTCAACTCCCCCCGTGGGAGTGCATGGTGAGCTGCCACATTGAAAAGCTGGGCAGTGAGTCAGATTCAGTTTTTAACTTGGGCTCCCTCCATGGCTCTCCATTGTGAGTCTTGATCCGATGAATAAAACTAGTCCCAGCCAATCAGCAAAGCAAAGTGCTTCACATTTCTTTGTGAATGGCTGTGGGGACAACCAGCCAAGTTCCCTACTAAAAAGGGAAAATATTATTTCTCTGATCATAATTGTAAGGTTAATAGAATACTGTTAGGAAACAGCATCACCAATAGGATGTTTGTGTCTGTTGCTAAAGATACAAATTAGACTTACCTGGCATGATAGTGGATGCCTGGAACCACTGGGACAGGAGATCAAAATGAGTTCAAAACCAACCAGGGCCCAGTGAGACCACATTTCAAAAGACACCTTTAAATATGATTCAAAACTTCCAAAAATTAATTCATGTGTTCCAAAAAACAAATATATAAGAACCAGTTGAAAAGGAAACCAACTATTTACTCAGGAAAAATCATTTAAAATGAAAAACCAGAATGGATGCCTTCAGCCTGGACCATTTCTATCAGATGGTATCCATTCATGAAGTGGTTTTGAGCACCTGCTGTGTAGCACATGCGTGTCTGAACATCAGGAATCTAAAGATTGCAAGAGGTGGCAGGAGTCATGTGTGCTTTTAAAGAGCTCACATCCGTGATGTCACTTTTCCTTCCATCATGTCCCAGCCTACACACACACCCCGGCTTCTGCATTGACCAGGGTGGGGGCATCCCTTAGTGCTGAAGCCCTTCTGTCTCTTTCCAGAAAATGTGCTCAGCAGAGGTCTCAGCTCCTCTCTCTCCCTCTTTGTCCACTGTGGTCATGCTTTTATTGTGGCCACCACTTCTCTAAAGTTGCCCTAGCCCATGCTGGCAGGGGCCAGCTCACAATCTGACCTTGTCTTCTCCACAGTAGCTCATGGATCGGTGGTCCTCCTTGACATGCTGTCTTCACTTAACACGGAGGTAGGGCTCCCTCTGTGCTGCCACAGTGGTCTTTCTTTGCCCCTTCCCTAGACCACAGTGTGGCATGGTGCCTCATCTTTGAATGCCACCTTCCGCCTCTACACACTGGCAGTGTGTGCATTTTCCAATCCCGTACCTTCAAATGCCATCTAAAAGCTATAGCTCTCTCTTAGATCTCTCTTATGACTTGGCCTGAGACATCTGATAGATACTTTGAGTTTGAGCGCTCTAAATCCAAGTTTACCACTGTGTTTACTGCTTATTACCACATACACAGAAAAGTTAAGAAGTGAAAACCACTTAAATAGCATAAGAATTCTCATATATAACAAATCCAAGCATAGAACATGCCTACCAACTCCCCAGAACTCCTAAGTATCCAGGCTCCTGGTTGCCTGCTATTCTAATGGTTGCCATGGTTCCTCTTTGTGCAAGGTCCTCTCTGTTCACGCCTTCCTTCATGTCGGTGTTCAGGCTAGCAGAAGGGAGGGAAAGAGAGCTACAGTCCATCTCTCCTTGCTTTCAGAACAACTGCTTGGACACCATAGCTAATTCTTATGCTGCTATTTCATTGGTCAGCACTTACAGCACAGCCACACCTAACTGCTTCATGTTTAAACCATATGGCAAAACATTCAGCTAAACTCCGGGTTCTTTTACTAAAGCGGAAAAGGGATGTTAGGAGGAAACCAGCTCTGCCACACATGACTGACACATGTCCTTCCTTCAGGTCTTTGATTAAATACCAGTTATCTAAGAGGCCTTCCCACAAGCCTATCTAGCCTTGGTTTCCCTCTTGTGAGTCCGTCCCTTTACATATGTTTATATCCGTACAGCATAGCTCCCATCATATGATGATACCCGCACTCATGACTTTATATATATATATATGGATCTGGTAGCTGCATGCACTCCTTCCTCACTGGACTTAGGGAAGGCACCCTGCTCTGTTAACTACGATCCAGGCCATGATGAGTCATGAGCAGAACAGGGAAGGAGGGAGACACCCAAGTCACCATGTACTTTTGTCTGTCCCGGGTGCAGCAGAAGAGTTTGCCCACTTCCTCATCACCTCAGCCTTTTCTCCTTCTTTGGGAAGCTCTAGAGACGGCCTTTTCCTATAGCCACACTGCACGGATTCAGCAGCACACGTGACCAAGTCACTTTTGTGGAGTGCAGATAACAGTCCATTATCCCAGCAGCTCTTGGGCAGGGCTGCCCTGGGGGAGCTAGTCAACATAGAAACAATGTCAAACTCTCTTAGCCTCTCCTCTGTGACTTTCTCTTTTAACGGAGACTCTGGATTTTTCTATTTAAATGGAAATCTAGCTGGTGCTGAGAAAACTAGCATGTGGCCTGCTCCATATGCAAATGTTCTCCTGGGTGATTTTTACCTATGACAGAATTGATGGGAAGCCTGGTAAATCACAAACATTCTTAACCTCATTATAAATACACTGCAGATGTGAAAATGCAAAGTGTGGAAGTCATAAATGTGAAAGCGACTTTCAACTGGTTTTAATGGGTGTTCTCTGTATCTTGTTATAACCCAGGGACCTGGCTGCAAGAAACTGCCTGGTAGGTGAAAATAATATGCTGAAAATCAGTGATTTTGGAATGTCTCGGCAAGAAGACGGCGGAATATATTCATCCTCTGGGTTAAAGCAGATTCCCATTAAATGGACAGCACCAGAAGCTCTTAATTACGGTATGAATGGACCCTGTTTTTCCTTTTGGTAGTAAAAGTGGCCTACATCAGCACAAAGCACTCAGAGGCTTGGTTGGGGTAGAGCAGAATCCAGACTGGAACTACTTGAAGGGCAACACGAATCGAGTGTAAATGTTCTTCCCTTGCTCTTAGTCACAGACTAAGTGTTTAGACATGTGAGACTGCTCAGTTAAAATAGTCAATGAGCGTGACTAGACATCTGAGAATTCCTAGTGTCCAGAGAATGATTACCTTCATATTAGACATCTGTTGTTCGAATCTTAGTGGGTCTTTTAAAACCTGTTACCAGATATTGGGGTGAAAGCTGGAAGATCACAGAAGCAGAGCAAGCCACAGCCAGCTTCACCTCACCAACTCCTCAGCCGGTCCTGTTTCCAAGAATACTCAGACTGAAAGCCTCTGAGTCCTCACCCCAAGGGTCTCTGCTGAACTGCTTTAGTTCCTGTTTCCTCAGGCCTTATATACCATTCTCTGCCCTGCGGTTACTTCCTGGGATTAAAGGCCTGTGTGCTTCCCAGAACTGGGATTAAAAGTGTGTGCCACCACTACCTGGCTCTATTTCCAGTGTGGCCTTGAACTCAGAGATCCAGATGGATCTCTGCCTCCCGAGTGATAGGATTAAGAGTGTGTGCCACCACTGTCTGGCCTCTATGTCTAATCTAGTGGCTGGCTCTGTCCTCTGATCCTCAGACAAGCTTTATTAGGGTACACAATATATCACCACAGACATCATTCTTGAGAATACTTCATATTGTACATGGATACTTGACTATACATCAGGTGTTGCTGGGGGTCAGGACCATTAGTCTGAATGTCTTATAATTGGTCCAGTCATCATATCTAAAGTAAATAGTGTCAGTCAAGTCTTCAGTTCCTCCCTCTTCAGGAGCCTGCTCTCAGCCTCTTCTCTGGAGCTTAGATCAATCTTGAGCAAAGAAAGAGGTGGGTGTCATCTTTTATAAGACCAAGGATTTGTTTTTATTTATTTTTTGTTCACTGTAAATTTTACGTATCTCTCTTGTGAGAAGTGCACACATGCCATGGTGAACATGTGGAGGGCAGAGGACAACACATGGGCGTCGGTCCATGTTATCACAGAGTTGTCTGTGTGTCTGTTGTGGTTGGTACTGAACTTCATACAATGGTGTTTTCTGTACCCGATAGCCCATTATGTGAGTATACACTAGTTTACCTTCTTGAGGAACCACCAAATTTCTTTCTAGGTAAAGATTTGAGTGTAATTGGCTTGGAAACTTGTCAGGCTGAGTCAAGTGCCTCATGCCAGCAAGAGGGGCTTTTGTGAGCTTTCCAGTCATTGTAGACCAACCTGGGGTTCAGTGGAGTGGAATCCCTGTCAATTCCCACAAGATTCTTCTGAGTTGGGTGCTATTCCTCGTGGGCTATGTTAGTAAAGGAAAAATCACGGGATGAAAGATAAGACTGTAACACTTAAATTTGTACAGAGTGTTTCTTTAGATGAAAACGTTTGTAAAAAACCTTTGTGACTAGATTTTCTTCTTGTGTATAAGTGCTCATAGCTAGTAAAAATCTACCTCTTAATCACAGTGAATACTAACCTCACTAAAGTATTTAGGAACCTAAGGACTAACTCCAGATACATGGACCGGACAGATGTGTTTTAAGTGAAAAGGACATGGAGGAAGCTTTCCGGTTGACACTGAGGGACATTTCTTTAGCTGCCTTTGACACAGACTTTGTAAGATGCAGTCGAGGGAGGAGGAGGAGGACACTACTGTACAGGTAAACGACAGTGCGGTGCAGTAGTTAGTGTCCAGTCCAGGAGGAAGTGCCTAGAAAGACAGCCTCAGGGGCACCCAGATTGCCATGGTAGCTCTCACAGACTTACACTGGCTCCAGAGCCCTGCAATTTTTGTTTTTTGCTTTTTTTGTTTTTTTTTTTTTTGCTTTTTGAAACACCAGGGGGTGGGAGGTGGGTGTTATCTCATGAAAGTCCTTATTTCTTGTTATACTTCAAGTTTTTACTGACTTCCTATCCAGGAGCCCTTTCTTCTCCACTGATCCCTTCCTTTACTCTTGCCTCAGGCTGCTGAAATAGTGCCCAGATGTCTCATGAAGAGGTCAGGGAGATAGATAAACGATCCACTGTCCAAGGACCCCCTTAAAGCTCTGGCTTAGGTCTGTTGGATTAAGCTGTGTCATTAGTGTTACTTGATGGAAAACATTTTTAAGAATCAGGCAATGTTAAGGGCCCCTCACCCACACCTGTCCCCCGTGCCACGCTCTCATCTTGTCCTCGAACACTTCTCAGCCCTGTATTTGGGATTATCCAGCTCAGTGTCTTCCTCACTGCTCTGCTAAGATACCCTGACAACAGCAGCTGATGGGGGAAGGCGTTTCCTTCTGGCTCGTTCTTCTAGAGGGACAGAGTCTCTCATGTCAGGGAAGCCATGGCAGCTGGCTAGTCACATTGCGTCAGGAAACAGAATGAACAGGAAGTAGGGCCAGACTCTAGAGCATCAACACCTGCCCGTGATGACCTACTTCCTCCAGCAAGACTTCATTACTTCATTACCTTCCCAAACAGCCCCACCACTCAGGGACTAATGGATCACACACAAGCCTACGGGGACATCTCACACTTAAACCGTAACACTCCCCAGCGACTAAATGAGAGCGTACTCAGACTGTATCCCTTCACTTTCAGTCCAGTTTTCAACGGAAGTACTCGGTTTATAAAGAAAGGTAGTATACTGATCCAACTAAAAAATAAAGTCACCTATTTATCGGTTATTGGAAGTTTTCCCAGCAGAGAGTGGGAGAGGAGGTCCTCCCCAGGAAGAGCGCATCACTTCATTGTCCGGTGTGAAATGGTCAGCCCTAAAAACATACATACACATAACATAATAACATACTTAGGAACATATATGTATATGCACACACGCATGCAATAACACTAAGTAGAAAAAGAGGCCATGAGTCTGAAGGGAAGGGGCTTATGAGAGGGTTTGGGTGGAGGAACAGAAGGGAGAAATGCTGTAGTAATAATCTCAAAAATTATTTAAAAACTTAACCATTTCCCACCTGAGTGTTTAGGGATGATGGTGGTGCTCACAACATAACTAAGCAGAAACTCCTCTCAGTGTGCTGTGACTCCTGAGCCTCTGGAATGAGAGGGAGACAACATTTTCTGCTGAGTTATGTTGTCAGCCACAGGACCTGGGCAAGAGGGCCCCTGCTCTATGGTTATGCAAATTGTAGTGCCTTTCCTCCAGAAGGGTACTCAGAGGGTCAGCTCAGCAAAAGAGCAGCAAAATGCTGCCCTGACTTACTCCGTGGTGTCAAAATGATCCACCAAAACCAGGTTCAGAGGTCGGGCAGGTTTTGTAGCTTTCTGAAGTGTAATCGGTTTACATACAGAACAGTTTTCTTGATCTCCACCAAACAGTGCTTTACAGCCTAAGAGATGTGTCTACAGAACTGAACTTCTTTACAAATTAGCCTCAACCTATAGCCACTGAACAAGTTTCATGAAAAGACTTGCTGTGTAGAGAAACAAAGTACTTTTCCTACCCAACAGCACAGGGAATATCCATAATGACCTTCTCGGTAGTGGGAAGCTAATCTCCACAGCTGGGGCTGGTGATCAGTGAGTGCTCCAGACTGACACAGGACCAGAGACACAGGCAAACTCTCTGGCCATTGTCCTTTCTTCAAGAAGGGAAGAGGCCGTTCTCTTTTAGAGGAACAAGACAATTTTCTAGGAGTGGCATTTATAAATCCTGGGATAGCAGATGGAGAGAAAATGCTATGATTCAGAAACCTTCAAGCTGTGCATGGTGACACATGCCTGTAATCCCATCACAGAGAGGTAGAGGCAGGAGATCGGTAGTTGAAGGCCAGCCTGGGCTACATGACAAGCTAGGCTACATGTGACCTTGTCTCAAAAAGCAGACAGAAAAGGCCTTAACATTTCTGCAGGTGGCGTTTAGTTGTGACAGGATGCATATGCCATGTGCTGGACAAGTCTCAGAAGTGCATATTGCCTTGGAGACTGGGAGGGATGTTTCTGCTGCTCCTCCCTGATTTCATATCCATCTCCAGAAGGCATCTTTGGTAGAATTTTATCTCTGTGCTTCTGCTAAAGGCTACCAAAACAAACAAACATAAAACAAAACAAAAAACCCTAAGAGTTCAGCTCCTGCGGCTCAGTAAAACAGGTGCACCGAGATATCTTGACAAAGCAAGGCACTATGTAATTTGAAGAAGTTGTTTTTATCAGCCAGCTCTGTTAATTTCCACTCTATTCAAACCATATAGTTTCATTTGCAGAAAATACATTTCTCTATCAGTGGCGAAAATGAGACCTTTAAGCATGTAAGAATATCTGTAAACAGTGATGAGTAAAAAAATCAAAGTTCAGAAACTTTCCTTATTGCTTTGAGTTTGTTTGTAATTTTACTGGGAAGAAAGCGATGCAGGCAGAAGACGACTGTAGGAATCCAGCTTATTTAATCTCCTAGGCACTGATGTGCGCAAATTTATGTTTTTATATAAAAACCAACCGTCTCCTTCAGATACCACAGGGAAGTAAGCCTGCATGCTGGCTGAATGTTTGTTATTGGGAGAGGGGAGAGTCATTTTATAGCTCACTTGATTAAACTAGCTTCCTGAAGACTCCATTTAATTCTTAACATTACTAGGCCTGGAATTAACACAAGCACCCAGAACGGGATGTAGTTCTGGCATTCCTTTGGAGGCCCAGCCATGCTAGCATGCGGCTGACACTCAGCCAGAGCCTTGTTCCACTGACTCACTGGTTATGACTGTTTTCTCCCTTTCAGGGAGATACAGCTCTGAAAGTGACGTGTGGAGCTTTGGCATCCTCCTCTGGGAGACCTTCAGCCTGGGAGTCTGTCCGTACCCTGGAATGACGAACCAGCAGGCCCGGGAGCAAGTGGAAAGAGGTGAGCCAAGGCCTGGGTGTGTCATGGTCACGTCCGCCAGCACAGCGGTGCCCGGGGCATGTCTGCACACCGGACTGGGAGGGAAGAGTCACAGTGCGGTAAAGAGGGAAAATGTCAGAGGAGTCTGTTTCCCAGTGCCATGGGTGCTGTGGCTCCTACAGAAGAAAGGCAAACTCTTGCAAGCCTGTCCCGCCCGTGGCCCATAGGTGACATGGAGCTACGCATATCTGTGAACGTGGCCAACACAATCGTGAACTTACTCTCTTCTTTTGCAACATAATCGCACGGTTCTTAAGTGTGAGCTGTGTAGATCCCAGTCCTGCTGTATCACAGTGCATGAAGATAGGATCCCTGTGCATGGCTCTCAGCTCTTTAAAGAGAGAACTCCACTGTATCCTGCCCCACTGAGGTGAAAGAAGGCAGACCACCTTAGAGTGGTGCTGTATTCCAGAGAAGTTCCTGTAGTACTTCAAGTGGAAATGCTTGTAGTTTCCAGAAGGAATTTAGAGATATTGTGATCCGGAGAGATGCTGTGGTACTCCTGATAGAGGCAGGAGGGACTAGGTGGCAGTCATACTCCGCACATGCTTGTGTAGGACACAGCTTCCAATGAGAGGAGTGTTCTGTTCAGATGACTGCCCCTGCCTGCCTCGGGTAGCCCGAGTGTGGGGGTGGCCTGCCTTCTATCCTTGCACACACACCTCCTAGCACAGGACCCCAGTGCAGCCAGGCAGCAGCCTGTAAAGGATGGAAATTGTTCTTTCTCAGCTCACTGCTGAATGAGCGTATAAACCCCCTTCTCCAGACTCTACATCTGATCCTTCTGGAAGCCAGTCCTCAGAGCAGCGCAAACGTGCATTTGTATGTGCTACAGCTTTCTGCAGACTTGCCAACACGTGCCTGGTTCTGTAATGGTGCACGCTGTCATCTGGGGGAGAGGGGGGGGGGTCCTGACACCGACAGAGACCTTTAGTGTGTATCCCACTTCCAGCATAGGGCACTAACATTTACAAGCAGCAGAATGCCCTGGGTGAGTGTGTCTCTCACTTCTGAGCTCTCTACTCTTCTCTTGAATCTTTAGGATACCGGATGTCCGCCCCACAGAACTGTCCAGAAGAGATTTCTAAAATCATGATGAAGTGTTGGGATTACAAGCCTGAGAACCGCCCTCGGTTCAGTGACCTTCACAAAGAGCTCACTGCCATCAAGAAGAAAATCACATAGTGCCGGCCAGGGCCAGACTCCACCTGCAGGACTCTGTCCTCAGCCACCCCGACCTTATACCACCTTACTGCAGCCATCTTGGAAGGTTATGTTTTTTATTAACCGGGTTTTTTAAAGTCTGTTCCACTTTAAAAATATGTTAAAGGCAAATTTATTCAAGAAATAAACAGTCCTACCCAGGGCCGTATTAGCTAACCACAGAACCCTACCGTGTGAGGCCGCTGTAAAGAGAAAAGCACAGGTCTAACTGAGAAGATAAAAGGCCTATGTTTTCATGCCTAGGACCATTGATGCTCCGCCAAGGTTTTCTACTTGAGGCACAGCCCGTGGGCTACTGTCTTCTGCCACAGGCCCTCCTCAGTTGGTGCTATAAACAGCGTTGGTAGCGCATGCTCGCAGGACGCGTTCCCACCACAGTTGGCTCTCTACTCTGCCAAGGCGAGATTGTATCTATAAATATAATCATATATTGGGAATTACTTGGACCTCCTAGGGTTTTTCTTTTCTTTCCTGTCAGAACAAGCCCGGTGAGAACATTACACCCCTGTTATTTTGTCTTTTACCTCCTCAGTCCAGGCTGCAGAAAAGGGTGCATGGAAAATTCCCAGAGAGCACACAGTATGGAGGCAGCTGCTCCTGCAGGACACTGCAGAGGACAGGGATGACAAGCAGTGTGTGACCAGGAGGGCAGGCTGGGAAAGTAGCGGCTAGCCGGTGCTCGCCAGGGAGAAGAAAACAGCAGCCTGCTTGCCTTCCAGACTTGCACCTTTACAATACACTGTATCTGTGGTCTGAATTCCCTAATGAAGCCTAGGAAATGTCTCAGGAGCTCCTGGAGTCCAGAGGAGACTTTCTGAGAGATCCTGAAGTCCGCAGAAGGAACAGCATGACTTTAATCCTGTACCTTCATCCTAGGGGACAACCCAGAATGGAATTACCATCATTTATACCAGTTCCTGAACCTTCAGAGTCCATGACTCACACCCACAAACATCCACATACATCTACTGAAGTGCACAGTTGCTGTGAATGAAATAGATGGACCAGAAATCAAGTAAATATTAATGAAGAAACCCTAGGGCACCCACACTTCCATCTCCTCTTTTCATCTAAAGGCAGTCCCCGGAAATCTTACTGATAGCTCATGGGTATGCAAGCACACACATCATTAAAGGGTATCTCCTGTGTATAAAGTGTAGGGCGGTTCAATCTAAGATTTGGTTGAAGTGAATCTTAGCTGTGTGCAGGGAACTTCCCCATGATCTATCCACAGTTGTCTCAGGATCAGTATGTCTGGGGGATAGTATCACTAAGGGGAAGATGTGGCCCGGAAGCCTTCACTAAGTCCTCAGACCTGTGTCCAGACAGACATTGCTTTAGGGACTACTCACGTCTGTGTTGAAGAGCTCACGATGGCAAGTCCCTCCCTTCCGGGCTGTGTAGAGCATAGACCAGACTCTAAAGGGTATAAAGGAGACTGCTGAAGAGAAGAATGGCTGGTATCTATCATTCCAGCCTCCTTGCTCATTTTATACACATGTAATGATCATACATGCAGACTAAAGAAAAGGACCTATGAGCCTGCCCACAACAGTACACTGCCCCACACAGAGCAGCCCCGTCATCGGCATGGCGCTCCCGCAGGTCAGACACCACAAATGAGCTTAGCTCCCTTTTCATGGCACACACCACGGAAACCCAAGTGCAGACTCCAGAATTCAGACTCGGTGCTGTGCTGCTCTCCAGGCATCTGTCGTCCCTCAGAAGGAGATAAGACGTTCCCTTTCAGGGTTTCCAAGTGAATCTGTCTATAATACAATTTTTGTCCATGAGAAAGAAAGAACAGCCTCTCAGAACTATACTCCGGCCACGGAAAGGAGACTTGGCTCTAACTCTGTGAACAAGACCCGAAGCTTAATCCTTGCATTCTGCTTTAAAGAGAACATGGCATTGATAATTTCACTCATCTCGGCTGTTGGGATTTGCAATTCACATCAAAACTCTTTGCTTAAATTAAAAAGGCTTTTCAAAACATCGTGACATCTGCAGCATTTAAATTCTATTTTATTCTTTGTCCCAGAGCAGGCAGAGGTACAGTTTAAGATTAACTCATCGGGAGCCTTTCAGGATCATGTCAGTCGTATAGAATATTAAATTTAACATAGGCGCATGTATTAAGAAAAGCTTATGCAAAAACATTCTTACTGTTAATTTTGTTATGCTTGAAGCATAATTTATTCATCCCTTCTGTCACTGATAATTATTGGAATTATGTACTTTAGGAGGCTAATCCATACCCAAAAAGTGCACATATAAATACAGTTCTGATTTGCAAGTTGATTTAGGGAAAAGAGGCTGCAGAAATGCACAGAATTCTATGATTTGTTTTGTTAAGTAATAAATAGTAAACGGTGGTGCCCAAAATTCCCGCTGGTGTGGCCGCACTTGAGCCTGGTCCCACATCTTTATTTCCCTAATGGGTTATCCGAGAGTTACCTGTAGCCCTGCTCATAGCTACACTCGGCATTCCTTCAGTTCCGCCATCTGGGCATGAAGGAGAGGCTGGTAAACCTGAGCAGTCCGACTTCACAGCTGCCTTTTCCTACCTTGAATCACAAGAAGCCTTCATGAGAAATGGGTAGTTCACTGTTTTTCAGAGGGAGAAAACTTCTCTGCCAAGTCGGCATCCTTGTGTATCCCGTGTGACCTAAGCTTTCTTCCCAAAGCCATTTTCTTAGGAAAACCGTAAGGGGATTATGAGGCTTCCTTTCAGCCCCCTCCTGCTCCGAGGTCCACAGGAAGATGTCCCACGTGATTCTTTCTCCTTTTTCCAAGACAGCAGGGATGGTAGAGTTAGTTCCCCAGTCACAGCTGGCCCCTTCTCACAGACATCATACAGCCTGGATCCATTTGTGGGTATCTCACAGATGGTATCCACTACAGGCAGGGTTGTTTAGAAAACAGAATTTCTTAGAGCTGAGATTGTATTAGTTTCCTTTTTAGTCACTATTTCTGTTAGCTAGCTTCACTGACCAACTCCACAGTGCTGGTACCAAGACTGTTGATAAGCAAGCATTTTAGTTGCAATATGTGCTGCGTGCCAGGACTTGGGGGAGGGGGCCCAATGAGCACCCCGGCTGCAGCGGCACAGATCTGTGTTGTGCGTCACGGTCAGAGGCGTCTCAGGCACACTTCATGATCCCTGTGATTATCAGTTGCTGTACAAGTGTACCTGAACATCATCCTGATATGCTGTGTACACTGTCTTACAGCTCTGTCCTTGAAGCAAGAGTGACATCTGAAAGGGACTGTCTGCCTGAGCCCTCTCCCTTTCAGCACACTCCATTTGTCACACCATTGACATCCGCCATGTCTCTTGTCAATAGATGTGAATGTCATGGGAAGACAGACTTTTCTATTTGGAGATCAGAGCCCTCATACAAAAAAACACCACCACCGAGAAGGAGCTGCAGAGACAAATTTCCCTGTATGTGTTACTGTCTTCAGTAGATGGAATCAAAGATTTTACATGGAGATCAGTCATTAAACTGGCAGGAGAGTTTACTATCAAAGTATTACCTCATTTTAACTGATTTTAATTAGATTTTTACTTTATATATTTCTGGGCTTATTAGTTTGATGTCAAGTCTGACTATGTACTTTTTCTGAGAATGCAGAATGCCACTCATTTCTGTAGAAGAAAAAAGACCCTGATTTAAAAGCCAGCAAGATCACCCCAAGAAGAGTCACTTATACAGACTTAAGCTCCCATTAAATGTCCCTTTGAAAGTCACGTTCTAATACAGATAATCAACTATCATCTCGCTAAGTCAGTTTAAGAAATGTACCCTCACCCCCACAAACCACCCTACTGTCCTCTACTGATTCAAAGATTAAATTCAGGGCCAGCCTTAGAATCACACTCTATCCTGACAGGCATGAAGAGTCTAGGACAGTAGGAAAACACCGTGCTGTGACATTCTTAATCCCTTTACAGTACCCAAGAGCAGGGGCACAGTGGGTACTGCCAGTGAGCTGTTCAGGCAGCATGCAAGGAGGCAAAACAGGAGAAGAACGAGTTCCCTGGAGCAGGTGGAGAAAGTGGAGAAGACTGATAGCGCAGCCTGGAAGCCCAAGGAAACTGCCAGGCGCCAAACCCTTCCCACAAAACCTAGAACAGATCATCAGTCCCAAAGCTGCAAAAGAGCCCACCCCAGTGCCAGGGCCACTCCCTGCAGCAGGAGCTGCTCACTTGGCACCCGATCCAGAGCTGACTGTGTGAGATGTTCCACTCACCATCTTCCCACCCAGTAAAACTGGTCCCATGTGCTCAGTCCTAAAAGAGTAGCCAATGCCTCTTTACATTTGCGCTAGTTATCAGTACGTGTTAGGCTGAAGCCACTGATTCTTCACGTCTCATTAGGAATCTTTTTATGCAGTAGAAGCTAACTTGTGCTAAGGTTTCCTAAATGAGAACATGCATCATCTTGTGACACCTTTGACCACTAGTAAGTAACTAAATGGTTCCTGGAGTTTCCTGCTGAGGGGCCCTACTGTGCCACACTCTTATGAAGAGAAACAAAGCATCAGGGAAGTTGGGAAAGTAGCTGTGTTTCTTGACTTTCCACTAGTAACGCTTAAGGGAAAGAGAAAAATAGAGACCTTCTGAGGCAGAGCACAGTTCAGCCGGGTAAGGAAGTGGGCCTCCAGCAAAGGAGTCCAGGAAAACAGAGGGCAGTCAGAATATCAGTGAGACCCATGGAAAAGCCTGAAGCTCTGGCAGCATGGAGCCCACCTCCTTCTGAACAGTACCAAACAGAGCACCCCTTCAGCTTCTGCAACAGTTTCTTGAAGGGCTTGAGTAGACTGTTTCAGAATGTAGCCTCTTTCTCTGCAAAGCTACAGAGGTGGGAGTCGAGCCCATCTCCTATGCACCCTAAACTGGGAAACTGAGTTACAGCACACTCAGCATAGGGTCTACAGGCAATTGTTGGGATGTCTCTGGGTTTCACTTCATTAATGGAAAACTGTAACGCGGCACGTTTAGCTTCCTTACTAGCAAACTTGTAAGAATTCTCAAACAAGAATACCCACCAACATCTCCTTTTGAACTTCAGAACTGTGTACCCATTAACATCCATTAAGCCAGTAACATGCAGGTGTTCCAGAGGACCAGAGTGCTGGGTGACAGTAATAGTCCTGTCGCAGAGTGTTTCCCTCCAGTGTGCCATACCAGGTCCAGCAGTGCTGAGAGGTGTGGTCTTCAGACTTGGTTTTGACTGCTGGCTAGCATCCTTTCTCATCTTTGGCTTTGCAGTGCTTCTCTTTCCCCGAAGAGAAAAGCCTTCAGTGTTCATTGGCTTCTAACCCAAGAGTCTCTTCTCAGGGGTTCCCTGCCTTACAGGGATGTGCAGACCTATTCTGAGAAGTCCAAGCATACAGTCAGCCTGAGAGTAAAGATGACGTGTGGAGATGGCATGCTTAGGTGCTGTGTGAGCGGCCTTATCACCAAAGGCTTGGGGACCTTTTTCTAAGGACATTAAGACTACTGTGAGTGGGCGTGCCCAGGTTGAAGGCTTCCTTATTGTTTTGGGCTAGTAAGCTGACCTCCCACCCCCAAAGACATAGTGGAACAGAATACTCCACAGTAAAGCCCTGGACATCCAGTTCTTCCACACACTACTGCAGGCTAATACACTTTGTATCCTCTATACCCTTCTTAAGAGCAATAGCTAAGTTCTTCAAGTTATATCATGTTAAATGATCTTCTAAAACTTTAAGAGGGCACTCTGAGGGTTCAAAGTAAGCCAGTCTGCCTGAATAGACACCCCAGAACATTGTATGAAGACATCAGCTCTCCTCATAGTTTCCCAAAGCACCTCCCTGGAAAACCAGACATTACCGCTTTCCCTGTTTGTTGGGAATTTCTGTAGCATCACATAAGTAGGCTGCGAATGCCACCCAGCAGATTCTAGACTGGCCCAGTAGGAAGCCAGGTGTCCTCCTCTAGCTACCAGAACAAACAACAGAGCCCTGTAAGAGACACACCATGGCCACTTGTGAGCACAGCGAGAACCCAAGTGTGAAAAGAAGCTACATAGGAATCCAAACTCCTGTTCCTCCTGAAGTACTTGTCAAATCACTGAGGTGTTGGAGTTGCCTGACAATCATTATAGAACAAAAAGTGAGCCCCTGTCTTCCCTGAGACCCAGGGAGGTCTCTAAGTGACCTATATTCAAACCCTTAGGGGCCAAGAGAGACTCAGACAGCTGCTGTCATTGATACCCTGTGGTAGCTCACCATAACATGCCTTTTCTTTAAGGATTTTCCTCTTACAAAGAATTTGGTGGGGAAAATATGCCTGCCAACTCCTAAGAAATGCCAGACTAGTTAGTGTATGCAAACACCGTGGCAGGAACCAAGCCTGAGCCTCACCCAGAGGACAGCTGTGTTTAACTTAGCCCTGGGTGCTTAGCCCATCCCAGGCTAGCTGTAGCTGCTCTCCTTTAGCAGCAATCAGAAAACCAACACTAAGAAAAGCAAGGTTCCAACAGAAGAGACTTTCCTATCCCTCCTTAGGCCCTGGTCCTTTACAGACACAGTGCACAGGATGTGGACACATCCCAGCAGAGCTCACTTTTTTATTTAGTGTCAATGGGATGGTTTCCTCCAGCTTCAGCAGGTTACTATGGGTATTCTTCACAGTCAAGTGGCTCTAAGCATCCAATCAAACATAAAAGCAGCTCATTTGTTCCAAATGCATGGCGAAAGTGGCCAGAGACACAAGATGCCCTTTGTCTGCTGGAATGTCACTTCACTGTCACAAGGTCTGCTCCCCAGCTTTATCTCATGCACAAGGTCCCCACGTGGATGTAGTTCTTGTGGGACAGTTCCATCATCATCCTTGATCATAGGCTACCCAGGCTGCCTGCTGAGTCAGCTTCCTTACAAACCCCTGGAGATTCTAGGTTTAAATGCCTATAGGTTTTATGTTTTCTTTGTGTTTCAGTGAATGAGTGATTGAGCAGCTGGGGACAGTGGGGACGAATGCTGATGCACATCCTGTTCACTTTGCGTCATAGTTGGTGTCTGTGTTTCTTAGTCTGCTCTGGGTGCTTTTGTGAGCGCTCTAGAATTCCAGAACTCTCCAAAAGCATAGCCATGCAACCACATCAGGTTTAAAAATCCGTAGAAATACAAGGGAATGAAAGCTAGCATCAGAGACCCACAAACTACTCTGACTTCTTCAGGAATCCAAGCAAACTGAGCACAAAAAACAAAAACACAGAATACTCAATTGGTGCGCAGCCCACGTGACTTCAGTGGGCTGTCAGCCCCGCCATTTTCCTGGCACGGGAGCACGGAGAGCAGGGACAGAAATACACTTTCCTGAGTTGCTTTCTCTGCTTGTTACATGGAGATGAACTCGTGTTGAGGGAGCAGGGCTGCCCTCGGCCACCTGCTGTCTAAGTGTCCCATCTGCAAGCAGCATTGTGAGACAAGCACCCCTGTGTTTGGTTCACGGTTTCCTTCGGTGCCAATGGATGGCCGTGTTAATATCAGGTTAAAGCACCTTTAATCTTCTTTTGTTATTTTAAAATAATATATTTGTGAAGTGGATAAAAGAAACACTGGAAATGGGGTGCTTCTGAAAATATCAAGTGTAAAACATATGTTCCAGGTCCATGGTGGTTTTTCTGGCTTTGTAAACAATTCTAAAAATGGATGACAGCTACGTGTGTGGAGCAGTTAGTTGTCTACCTTTGGTCATTTGTATCTCAGATCTGTATTTAACACATATTTATTTGTTAGATTTTACATTCGATGAAATACACTTTGAATTTTGAATGGCTAACATTACCGAATGTTCTGAAAATTGCCTTCTACGTTTTTAGAAACACAATTCATCATTTTTGTACAATTGGGCCGTTTTTTTGGACAGCCTTTTCTCTTGCCAGAGACCAATTACCATCCATTGGTCTGCGGAGCCGCTTTTTACCTTGTTCTTGTAATGATGTAAAATATTTACAGCAAACTGTGCCGTGTCTTGTTTGATCTTTCTGTCATGTTTACATTTCTCCTCCTCTACCACATAAATATGCTCAAAAAAAGAAGAAAATGAAAGTGAGATTTCCATGGTAACCGGCCTCCTCTGGCTGTAACACTGCATGAAATTATTAGCTTTGGGTTTCTTTGTAATTAAGCGCATAAGTCGTGATGAGGATGGTTATGCTGCTCCAGTCCAAGAGTCTCTTTCTGTTGAGATATCAAGATTGAAATGTAGCTCAAGTCTGAGTTTTCTATGTGCTTTGGGAGTTTGTCATGATTTTCTTGAATGTATTTGGGGGTTTTTGTTTTGATTTTTCACAGCATGATTTATTTAGCTTTAACATTAGAATTTAGAGGAGAAAGGTGGCTTGGGCCGATATTTGGAAACACACTGACACGAAGGAGCTCAGGTATCTGTCCATCATGCTAGCTCTGGTGCAGGGCTCAGCTGGTCCCGGCCAAGGGGCCCATCCTGAAACGGCATGCTGTTGTTTACCTAGGTTTGGGGTGATCCCATATCTTCTCCATCACTTACTTCATCTGCGTCAAGCCAAGCCCTGTCTCTCTCTTAAGTCCTGATCTTGAACAAAGAGTCACCCCAAACCACTACTTTTGTGTTCCCAGGGCCACACACAGCTTCCTAGGTGTCTTAGTCGGGGTTACTGTCACCCAGGATGAAACACCATGACCAAAGGCAACATGGGAGGAAAGGGTTGGTTTGGCTTACACTGCAGCATCGCTGTTCATCATTGAAGGAAGTCAGGACAGGAACTCAAATAAGTCGGGAACCTGGAGGCAGGAGCTGACGCAGAGGCCATGGAGATTTGTTCCCCATGACTTGCTCAGCATGCTTTCTTACAGAACCTAGGACCACCAGCCCAGAGATGGCCCCACCCATAATGAGCTGGTCCCTCCCCCGTCAACCACTAATAAGAAAATGCCTACAGGTCCAGCTGCAGCCTGATCTTCGGATGGGTTTTCTCAGTTGAGGTCCCTCCTCTCAGATGACTCTAACTTGGGTCAAGTTGACATAAAGCCAGGCCTGCATACTAGGATAGGCCCAGTACCCATCCAGTCCTCTGACCTCACTGATCTTACAACACCTAGTACCTGCAGGGTGTTTCTGGATTGGTGGGCACCTTCTGACAGCCCTTCACTGCCTGCATGGGGGTTTAGCTTCTTACCCAGCAGATCTGTCTGAATCCTGGACAACCCCTGCCTTTCCTGACTCCATTAGGACCAGGGGCATCTGTCAGCCAGGAAGCCTGGCTCCCTGACTGAATCCCATTCCCCATGATGAAAGAGCAGCGTCTCTGAAAAATCCCTGGAGCTCTTGTGGCACTTGAAGCCCCACACATCGCTGTGATCCCCCTCCGGCTGGTGATTTCTTTTCAGGCAGATGGTGTGATGTTGCTTGTGGAAAATACAGGAGTGAGAACTCGTTGCTATCACAAGCATCGCTGAAACTCTGTGACGTCTCTGTGGACCTACCTCAGCAGGTGTTTTCACACCGTCTACGCCTGCTTCCTTAAAGCGTCCTCATTCTCCTGGGAATTTCCACTTCAGTAACTGGTGCGGATCTGATCAGAAAGGAGTTCCAAGCACCCACTGCCCACTACAAAAGCCCAGGCACCCACGAGCTTTCTGTACAAAGCTGGGTCCTTTCTCCCAAGACTGAGTCTTGAAGGCCAGGAAGAGGAGCGGAGCACATTCTTGGGAGCAGAATCCTTCCTTCGAGCAGAGTTGCTCTGATTCCTACTTCTGAGCTCCCTGCAGCCCTGGGTTGGGACCATCCACAACCTTGTTCTCTAGCTTCCATTGACTTGGGTGCCCATCTCCCTACATGGCCTCATCATGGCTTTCTAACTAATTCCTTTCACCTCAGTCCACAGTATTCCATTTCTATTGCCTCCTGACAACACTGATCTGAAAGGCCCCTTCTAGCTTTGAGTCTATGATCTCTCAAGTCTGAGGTCATTGCGGGGGTTCCTGCACCGCCATTGCCCTACAGAGTGAGTTCTAATCCTCCACTTATTGCTGTGTCAGCTTCCCGTTACCGTGACAAAACACTGGGAATCTGCAACGTTTAAAAAAAGGTTTATTGTACACACAGTTTCAGGGCCTTTCCTGTGGTCACTTGGTTCAGGTGCTTTGGCCTTGTGGAGGCACAGGACATCATTGCAGGAGTGTGGCAGAGGAGGCTTGCTCACATCATGGCAACAAGAAAGATGATAATCTGGGGTCCCCATTTTCCTTCCAAGTCACACCCTGGTGACCTAACTGCTTTCCACTAAGCCTCGCTTCCCAAAAGCTGCATCACCTCCTGGGGTAGTGAGAGAGCTAGAGGCCAGCCTTTCACACATGAGCCATTCAGGAGTCATGAGACACAGAAATGCCTTGACATGAGCTGTTGATTCTCACATTAAGCCTTCGCCACCACCCCACCCCTGGTCCCAGCTCAGGGTAATTCAGGTAATTGTTTCTTTTGTAGTCTCTCTCTAGTAACTAGTGGTGCCATTGGGTGGTCAAGTGATAAGGTCAATAGACTAGACATTGTCAAAGGCTAGTTGATCTACCATGGAAATATAAATACCAGAATCAATAGAAAAATAAATGTCACAGGGAGCCGAGGCACCAGTGGCTTTAGAAGTGACTCTTCTAGCCCATCTGTCCCAGCTTTCAGTGGGGCCTCATCTTATCCCACATCCAGAGAAGATTTCACCTTCCTGTTGAACACACTCAGAAGCCTACCAAATGTTTCCTTCAGAACTGAGTAAAAGCCAATAAATGCTTTACAGCTGTAGGGTTTCACGGCACACGTGTCTCCTCAGCATCCCCTGATAGCGTTGCCTCTGCCCACCTTTCCCCTTGTGCCCCCCAACAAATGTCAGAGTGGTTATGACAGTCCTGTAGCCCAAGTGGGCTCTGAGGAAGACACTTAGGACATCGGTGCCTCATGAAAGGAAGTAGGCAGGAGGGCATTTGGTCAATGATGCCCATGAAGGTCGCAGTCTTGGGGACTTTGAACAAGACAAACAGACTGAGACACAGCAGTCCCCAATTGAGAACTATGTACAGCATTAGCCTCCCAAGGAATGCCAATTGCACAGAATAACTCATTGTTAGGCTGAAACTGACTGTAGTGGCAACCAAGAGAAAGAGAAGGGGCTGCCATCTACCCCGGCCAGGTCACTCTCTAAGGGCTTTAAAAATAAACCCCTCTGTGGCTCTGATAGCCATTGAAACTTACAACAGTAGACCCCCATTCTTCCTTGCTCTCTTCCCATCCCTCCTTCCCTCCCTCCTACACATCCTTTCTTGTGGCCCTTCCTCAGTCACCCCACGATTTCATACCCAGAGCAGACATTCCAGGAAGATGAGCATGATCTCAGGTGTCTGCTGTAAAGGTGCATTCTTCAGATTCTGTGCTAGAAGGACCAGAAATCACTTACAAGATCAACCAGCAAGTAAAGAAGACGAGAGAGTCCTTTGCACAGGACAGCGGGAAGAATACCTGATGCCTGAAATTTGCTAATATAGGAAATACATTTCACCGAATCCCCTGACATCCTAAACATAAAACAACAACAACAAAAAGCTTACATCTGAAACTGCATGAGCTGAGCATTCAGATTAACACATTTGAAAAACGGTGACTCTGAGGCTTACTGTCTCCTATGACGGGATGTCAGAGTCGTGAAGAGTTTTGTCTCCCTCCCCTAAGACGTTTGGCAGTGTCACAACTGGGGAATGACTGGCTAGCATCTTAGTAGACAGAGTCCAGGAATGCTGCTCAGCAGATTACAGGGCACATACCAGAACCTTCCATTAAAGAATCATCTGGCTTCAAAAGGCAGTGGTGCCCTTGCTGAGAGCCCTGCATTGTGTCTGAATATCCATCCCAGAGCAAGGTCACTGGGAGACTTCACTGCACAGATTTTAAAGGTACAGTGGAGGACAAGAAGTTTTAAAAATGTGTTCTATTTTCCTTAAATTGGCATAAAGCTTACACAAAGAAGCAATCTACGGGATGAAGAAAGCCGAGTCCTGATGAGACTTAAAATCTCATCATGTAAAATCATCCCCTGATGAAATTTCCTAAGAAGGAAAAAGAATGAACCATATTAGGCATGAAAAGGTCAATTCAAATACAGAAATAGCAGCAATTGAACAAATGAGTGATTATAATCTTCATGCTGATAAACATGGAAAACCTAACAGAATTGACAGCGTCCTAGAAAAATGTTAATGTACCAAAGCAAAATCAAGAAGTAGACCTCAGGAGAGTAGAGCTGAGTCCAATCATTTAAAATCTTCCAGGGTGGGATGGGGGCCGGGGGGTGGGGCAGCAAGGTGGATGGATGCCTAACTCCAGTACCCCAGGGACCCACATGATGGAAGAAGAAAAATGATTCCTGTGACTCCTGTGAGTTGTCCTCTGATACCACACACACACACACACACACACACACACACACACACACACACACACACACACACACAGAGAGAGAAGTAAGTGTAATAAAATGTTCAATCTTCCTAGAGCATTTTTCCAGGAAGCAGGAACTCTACACTAATTTTGAAGCAGGTTTTTTCTCCCATAACCCCAAACTAGAAGCGTGTAAATGTTCAACACATAAGTAGTCAAGACAACCATTGTACATTTACCCCCTCCCTCCAAAAAAGAGTGAAATAGTGATACACACACCTGGGATAAACCTCAAGGAAATTATGTTCTGTGAAAAGGCCAATGTCAGATGGATGCACACTGTGATTTCACTTGCTTGAAGTCACACAGATGACGGAGCTGGGGTCTGATCTGTGTGGGAGGCGGGTAATGCTGTACCGGTATTCTAGCAGACTAGAATACATGATAAAATACACATACGAATACACAAGGAAGTAATGGAATCAGCCACCCTGAGGACTGTGTCACACCCGATCTGGGGAGAAGTGACCAAAATACACCCAGGATGCCCTGTCCAGTTCCTCCTCACAAGCTTTTGTACATCTTTATCTCTTTCAGAGTAGAAAGTTTAAAAGATAAATATAAGAAAGTAAACATATTTCCACTAAACACTCCCAGACCAGAAATACACAGCAAAGCTCTCCCGGGGCAGTGTTTGCCTTCCAGGGAGAAGAAATATAAGACTCTCCAGTCGATTTAATGAGAAAATATGAAAGTGAGAAGGGAAATGGTAAGAAATTACAAGTTCATCTTTACAATGAATATAGATGAACTTTTTCCAAAG